AGTTCTAGAAAATTTYTCTAAGCTTTGGGAGAGTTAAAAAAAAAGATTTCTGTGATAACCTAATAYTGTCAAGCAGTTGAAATATAGCGTATACAAGTGTGATTTTAAATTCCCTCTACCCTAGAGAACAAAGCACTTACCAGCAAAGATTATTTTTTAAATCCATGAACTCTTCAGAAATTCAGTTCATTGTGGGATTCTTACTGCAGTTCTCTGGTATTACCTGTCTTGTGTTCTTAGCAAACTCTATGACAGGTATTTGATATCTTTCCTAAATTCTCAGATATCTTTATTGCTGACCACATAATTGAACAGATTTGCAGACATCCCAATGCTCATTTTCTTAGTGCACATTTTTAAAACCATTTATTGTCTGAGTTGCTTTATTTTTTTATTATACCAGATGCCAATTGAAATTGCTGAGCACACTACCAAAGGCATGCGTCTGTAGTCCTCCGCCAAGAGATTAAATTAAGCCATGTAGAAAATTATGTGTTCTAAAAGGACAATATTTTTGTGAACATCTTTGTTTTTATTGTCTGGTTAATTGTTGACTGAATTTCCCCCCAAGGCTGTGAAAATGCAACAAGTAATGACTCAGAGAAAGAAGTATCAGGAAAAATCATGACTTGGTTTGGGAATGTTCTATATTTGTTATGTTTTGAGAAGCTACAGCAGTGCCTGATAGGCTCCCACACAGGGATGCAACTCTGGTACCCACTCTCCATCTTCCCTTTTTAAATTAACATGTAATTTATATGCAGTAAAATGGACAAATCTTTGAGTGCTTAGTTAAGTGGCTTTTGACCCATGAGTAATCCTCACCCAAAACGAGATTCAGAACATTTATGTCACCTACAAAATTTCCTTACTTCTGCACAGTTCCTTACCTAGGACAAAGACTGTGATGGCTACATCCCCAGCCCTTTTTRTCTTTTATTTTAAAGCAGGGCCTTGCTAAGTTGCTGAGTCTGGCCTCAAACTTGTGAGCCTCCTGCCTTAGCCTCCCCAGTGACTGGGATTATAGGTGTGTACCACTATGCCCACTCGTGCCAGGCAAGTGCTGTACCACCAAGCCACGTTGCAAGCCAAGAAACAGTTTATTTTTATGATTCTAAAGTAAAACATCTATAGGCTCCAGCTGATATTATGCTTTATATTTATTTCTGGCTTTTCTTCCCCTCTTATAAAACTAGCATTCTGGGCAATTTTTTAAAAATGCACTAGTTTTAATAAAATGGGCTCTTTATTCTTTCCCACACTGTCACAGTTAATTTGGACAAAATCAGTCTGTTACTGTGAGAATTGCTATTCAACTAAAAATGTATTATGATCTACTGCACACATAAAAATTACATTATAATGAGCAAAACTGAGCTAAACATAATTGTGCCTATACCAGAACTGTGACAGGAAGTGTCTCATATAACAATGGTGATTTCCATATCAGTGATAATTCTATTGTCTGATTGCATTGTGTTCTCCTTGCTGCCATATTGATGCACAGAATGTGTCCATCCATTCCTAGGAGATGCGGATGCAAAAAAGAAAAAAAAAGTTAACTTCCTTTCTTTCTTACTTATTCCTTGAAAAGTCTTAAGTAATTTGAAAGTAAAAAAAGTAATAGCAGCCAAATTCTATCCCACAAAGCTGCACCTTCCTTCCTTCCTTCCCTCCCTCCC